GGGGTGACAATTCGAAAAATCAGAGACGAGCAAGAGATAATTGTCAATTATTGGTTCATTAAGGTTTATTATTTTATAGACACTAGAAATACTGAAGTATATAACTGACTAATTTTTATTATCTTATAAAAATTGCAAGACCATAAATGGTTATGTCAAGATCGTAAATGGTTATGTGATGGGGTGACAATTCGAAAAATCAGAGACGAGCAAGAGATAATTGTCAATTATTGGTTCATTAAGGTTTATTATTTTATAGACACTAGAAATACTGAAGTATATAACTGACTAATTTTTATTATCTTATAAAAATTGCAAGACCATAAATGGTTATGTCAAGATCGTAAATGGTTATGTGATGGGGTGACAATTCGAAAAATCAGAGACGAGCAAGAGATAATTGTCAATTATTGGTTCATTAAGGTTTATTATTTTATAGACACTAGAAATACTGAAGTATATAACTGACTAATTTTTATTATCTTATAAAAATTGCAAGACCATAAATGGTTATGTCAAGATCGTAAATGGTTATGTGATGGGGTGACAATTCGAAAAATCAGAGACGAGCAAGAGATAATTGTCAATTATTGGTTCATTAAGGTTTATTATTTTATAGACACTAGAAATACTGAAGTATATAACTGACTAATTTTTATTATCTTATAAAAATTGCAAGACCATAAATGGTTATGTCAAGATCGTAAATGGTTATGTGATGGGGTGACAATTCGAAAAATCAGAGACGAGCAAGAGATAATTGTCAATTATTGGTTCATTAAGGTTTATTATTTTATAGACACTAGAAATACTGAAGTATATAACTGACTAATTTTTATTATCTTATAAAAATTGCAAGACCATAAATGGTTATGTCAAGATCGTAAATGGTTATGTGATGGGGTGACAATTCGAAAAATCAGAGACGAGCAAGAGATAATTGTCAATTATTGGTTCATTAAGGTTTATTATTTTATAGACACTAGAAATACTGAAGTATATAACTGACTAATTTTTATTATCTTATAAAAATTGCAAGACCATAAATGGTTATGTCAAGATCGTAAATGGTTATGTGATGGGGTGACAATTCGAAAAATCAGAGACGAGCAAGAGATAATTGTCAATTATTGGTTCATTAAGGTTTATTATTTTATAGACACTAGAAATACTGAAGTATATAACTGACTAATTTTTATTATCTTATAAAAATTGCAAGACCATAAATGGTTATGTCAAGATCGTAAATGGTTATGTGATGGGGTGACAATTCGAAAAATCAGAGACGAGCAAGAGATAATTGTCAATTATTGGTTCATTAAGGTTTATTATTTTATAGACACTAGAAATACTGAAGTATATAACTGACTAATTTTTATTATCTTATAAAAATTGCAAGACCATAAATGGTTATGTCAAGATCGTAAATGGTTATGTGATGGGGTGACAATTCGAAAAATCAGAGACGAGCAAGAGATAATTGTCAATTATTGGTTCATTAAGGTTTATTATTTTATAGACACTAGAAATACTGAAGTATATAACTGACTAATTTTTATTATCTTATAAAAATTGCAAGACCATAAATGGTTATGTCAAGATCGTAAATGGTTATGTGATGGGGTGACAATTCGAAAAGTCAGAGACGAGCAAGAGATAATTGTCAATTATTGGTTCATTAAGGTTTATTATTTTATAGACACTACAAATACTGAAGAATATAACTGACTAATTTTTGTTACCTTATAAAAATTATAAGAGCATAAATAGTTAAATGAATTGCTTCGATTTTCTGAGATCTCCTGGTATTTTCTAGAATCGATATTCTACAGCTAATAATACTTTCTTCAAAGTGTAATACATGGATGAATTAAGCTCTTAATCATGTACATAGCTAAATTGATACTAACAGCAAAGGATTAACTCATTTAAATGATTAAAGAGTGAAAGATATATTTGTATCTGACCTCTGTATCGCAACTGATGCAGACAATTTTTATTTTGCGCAAAGATCCGCAATATAGTAATGATGTGAATAATGTAACACATTTCCGGAACAAAATCATAATTCCGTGAAACAAGAAGCTCTTCTTCAAGAATGCTTGCATAATTCAAAAGGGAGGATGGCATCTATTTTCATTGGTCCGGAGGAAAAGATCCTGTTTCCTCGCATGCTGACCGGAAGTCTCCGTAATTCTTTCATTCCGTCGTAGCCAGGTTTACGAAGGCTTCCGTTCGCTAAATTGCAGAGCTGGCCGGATCCGTGAATCACGGTCGCGCGACGATACGTCGTCCATAAACATTATTGCGCGCGGCCTCGATCCGCAAGAATTGTTTCCATAAGCTTTCTCGCGAGATCGCTTAATTTATTTATAGTCGGTTCCACTGGATATACCCCCACGGCGCGCTATATCTATACTCCTCTGTTTTCTACCACCCACGCGTTTCTACCCCCTGCAGTGGACACGTTGGGCACGATACCAACTGCTCACGGAAAAATTGAGGCCTTCGCGTATTTAAGAAGAGAAACTGCTTTGTGCATTTTATGTGTGCGTTGGTTAACTTACTTATTTAATTCTCCGAAGAAAAATGATCAACAATTTTACATGACTCTGGTACAGCTGAACCAAGAATTTATTAACATACTTCCCTTTCGTTTCAGTATCATCATTGCTTTGATGCATGATCTATATAACGTTCTCTATAAAAAATAAAACACATTTTTCATTTTTGTTCGTCCGAAACACAAATTCAAAGTGAAGCCGATAAATTAATGTCCAGACGTTAGATCAAGTTAAAAGATCACGTAATTGCAGTTGGAGTAAAATTAAAGGTAATTAAAAAGAGGAGGTGAAATTAAAGACCATAAAATACGCGGCTATGATTATTACTAGACCGCGGATTTTATACGTATTCGACGAAAACCGCGAGATCGAGGACAAAATCGTAAAGACATGATAAAAATTTGAGAATATTTTTATATTATGTACAACTTACTAAAATTATTTAAAAAGGAAAGACATTTTCATCTGCTTTGCGATTCTTATGATGAACTTATTAGACAATTTTTATTTTGCACGAAAATCCACGCTGTAATTATGTTACCATTACTCGAATGAGAAATCGAATATCAAATGGATATATCAGTTTAGCTGCTGCATTTCAAGTCTACTCTCGAACGACAAAGAACAAATCGAGTGACTTCTCCATGCTTTTACGAGAAATTCTTTTTCGCATCGAAGAAGCCATATGGACCCTGGAGAATTGCCTAGGGGTGTGCCATTACCGTGACGGAACTCGCAGGAAGTTCGCCGACGACTGGTTAACTATGGAAATGAATTACGAAATTAGTGTAGTGCCGCCTTAAACAGTCGATTTAAATGCGCCGCGTCGGACAAAGAAAGGGTTGAGCCTCGAGAACAAGGACGAGGACGAGGACGAGGACGAGGACGAGGAGAAGGACGAAGGGTTCGTTGAACGTCTCGTGGATCGCGTTCTCCGAGCCGATTTTCCTGCCACTCTTCGATCGTTGTCCGCTCGCCTCGCGGAAACGGCGAACGCAAATAAACCGGGGGGGACTTGAATCGAGTGGGGAGAGAACTCGAATTCAATCACGCTTTCGTCCTTACCTCTCGTGTCCTTTCTGTCCTGCCCTCCTTCGACGAGAATGCTACACTGTCGGGAGTTCACCGAGAGAATTAAACGGCGATTCACCCGCTCATGGAAAACCGATTACTCGTCGACCGATCGACTGTGAGACCTCGTCGAAAAGCGCTCCGGACGTCGCCTTTTACAATTAGCAGTGTCAAGTACGCGTCCAGCTAACCCTTTGATACGTTTGTATCGCATACAAGATTATCTCGATATTCCAACGATTGCTTCGATATTATTACGACGTTCAGCAGAATTAGTACAATTCTTTTCTAATTTAATACTGTTCCGTGATCGTCCTATTGTATTGCTTCATAATACTATTATTTCAAATAGCCTCTCTTGCGAACTGTTCTGCTTGAAAAGCTCAAGGTACCTTTGATATATTGATTAAAGAGTTAAGGAGGGGCAAGGGTGGACAAACTTTTGATCATCACGGGCGAACTTTTTTTTTTAAATTATATGCGGCGGTCTACCAGCATCGTATGTGTTAAATGGTCATAAGAAAAGTAAAAAGTTAAAATTAATATAAACATAGATAATATCAGACACAGGCGGGCTACTAGGAAAACAGTAAATTCTAACTTGACGCTCAGCTGGTACACAAGAACAGGGAATTTGGGAAGAGGAGATACGATTATTCGAGCCTAGCGGCTCGTTTTTATAGTCACCGATTGTCAACAACCATAAAAACGAGCCGCTTTTATTTTTGTACGCAATCTGAGCGTCAATTAGGGAGACGCGGTCGACGCTTTGGTGTAAAAATCGCTGAATTATGGAATACTGTGTGCAACGTCTATTTGAAGCATCTTTTCAGTAAATAATTCACTGGAGCTCATGTTACGAGGATCATTCTGTACATTTCATTTTCAACGCACGTCCAATCAATTCTTCCAAGAAGCTCGCTCATGATTCTGATTGTACATCCTCTTACTAAGGATAATCAAGAAAATTGATTCTCTTAACTATTCGGTACGTCTTAGTAGTTCTTTATCGAAACTAAGCATATCCTTTTTTAATTTTATCTCGATTTGCAATATTCCTATTGAATTTTCCTGTTCATCTTATTCTGATTTGACTGATCGAATATGTCTCTCGCTAAGGACAGCATAGAAAATTGTTCTCCTTAGTGTTGAGTCCAGCAGTTTATCATATTCCCTAAACCTATTTTGAAATAACTTTACCTAAATTTATCCTGGATTTAAGTCGATCTCAATTCTGATTTGATTAAAAACGTTCTATTAACGATCAGAATAAACGTATGCTTAAACGCAGATTTTCCTGTTGCATCGAAGTAAACCTTCACCCGTTCAACATAATCATCAATACGCTACAATTATATTCAAAAATAATGACTACAACAATTGTATGTTCTTTATTGTTTGGTTCTATACGATGTTTATTTTCCAAAAGTCTGAGCTTGCGTACAAATCAAAGGAATTACGTGAGCAAAATATCGTGTTGTTTCTTCTTCTTTTTTTTATGTGTGTGTGTGTTCGTCAGCGTTCGATTGGAGCATTGAACATCCTCGCGCTATTTACAAGATGATGCCGCGTTGCTTGGCCTCTTCCTTGAAGTTTTCCGTGTGGACGCCGGTCGGGTCATACTTCTTCGACAGTCTCTCCCACACTTGCGGTTTCTGAAAGAGAAAGCAGAGAATCGTTTTAGCCACGTTCGAGATTCAACGGTCGCGCGCCTCGAGGTTTCGCCTTCGTCTTTTCTCTTCCCATAAACTTCATTCCGCATTCATTCTACCTCCATTATCCTAACGCGAAGCTAGCATATTAACGCTCTGTGAGTGCACGGACCGACCTCATGGAACATATACAGTGGCCCACGAAAGTGTCAATACGCCTTTTAAAACGCGATAAATATTTTAAAACTGAGATGCTTCTTTTTTAATTTTGCTATTAATTGGAACGACGAAAAAGTAAAAATCTCTCGTTTTTACACTTTTTTACCCGAGCCTGTAACGAAAATTTTAGAAAATATCTTTCTTAGATCTCGGTAACTTGTATGCATGTTGAACATTTTATCGAAATCGGTCCACGTTGCTATGAGTTGCAACAAATTAAAGATCGCAAAAATCGCAGTTTTATCACGATTTTGGCCAAAAACTGTAAGATATCTGCAGTTTTTAAAATCCTTCAACGCCTGTCGCTCGACTCTGGGTTAACCAAGATCTACAGAAGGCATTTTTTATTTTTTATTTTAAGATAAAAATGCCTACATAAAAAAGTTAAAAAACGAGGGCTTTTAATTTTTTCTTTACATTCCAAGTAATAGCAAAATTTAAAAACAAAAGTATGTTAATCATCGTCTAGTAGACCAGTCCTACTGTCATCTAAAAGAAACAATCCAAGTCATTTAATTCAGTTTTCAAAATGTTATTGCACTTTTGTGGGCCACTGTACGAGGCTACGGTCTCGTCTTCAATAATACGTTACTCGAATAAAGCGACATTTCCCGTGGTTCTTTCTACCCTCGCAATTCATGCACTTTAATTAACACTAAAATCGTCTGGATTTCTTGTTCTACGATTATCCGGCCGCAGAGAGTTGTCAAATAAAATTACTGCGCTGCGATGAGTTGGGCTCTCCGTTAACTTTCCGTACCTTGACTTCGTATATTTTGCAATCATTCTACGTCCTCCCAGAGAAAATTATTCGAGTTAAAGCTTTGTTAATATCGCGGACCTTGATATCTTGTTTTACAATCGTTGAATGTCCTCTCGGAGGAAGTGATTACAGTGAAAGCTTCGTTAATATCACGGACCACGATTAACAGTTAGCCGCTTCGCTCCCATGGACGTGTTATGTCGCGACACCGATGCTGTTCTTATAGGGCCACAGGCGAGATATCTCTCGACGTAATACCGTTCGTGCGGTGTCATAGACGAATAAACATGCTTTAATTCAAGCGCTTTCATTCGAAAAAGTTTGGTTCCATTGACATGATATGAGCCGTTTATTTTGAAAGTGGCATAAGTCACTTTTTTTTTTTTAATGGAAAGATACCGTTCAATTGTAATTAGTGTTACCATTAACTCGATTTTTTTGAAAAAGTGACTTATGCCACTTTCAAAATAAACGGCTCATATACAGGTTGTCCCAAAATGATGGTATCGCACAAGCAACATTACGTCGCGAGATATCTCGTTTGTGATCTTATACCAAGAATAACCAAAGCGTCGACCGCATAATTATTCTCAGTCGTCCGCCTGTATGATATTATCTAAGTTTATTTTAAATTTAACCCCTTGCCGTACTTTGACAAGCCCGACTCGTCATGAAAATTTCTAGTAATAACTTATTGAACATACAGGGTGTCCCGAAAATGTCTCGCAATCCGGAAATGGGAGGTTCCTAAGGTCATTTGAAGCAACTTTTTCCTTTGCGAAAATTTTCTCTGAGGCTTCGTTTACGAGTTATTAACGAAAAACACTGACCAATAAGAGGCGAGCTCGGCTGGCGTGCAGCGGCCCAGCCAACGAGTGCACGGAGCCCAGTTCCGCTCATTGGCTGGGCCGTCTCGCGCCAAATGATCTCGCCTCTGATTGGTCATTGTTTTTAGTTAATAACTCGTAAACGAAGCCGCGGATTGCATTTTCGCTAAGGAAAAAGTTGCTTCAAATCACCTCAGGAATCCCTTACTTTCGGATTGCGAGACATTTTTGGGATATCCTGTAGATGTTATTCTGTCCTTTAAAATTGGAACAAAATCCTAATCTCTTGTCATCAATATTTAAGCATTCAAGTAAATTTAGGCACACAATAAGCATCGATTTTTTTCCCTTCCAAGAAATAATTGCAATCAAAAAATTTCTAATCGCAATAACTGCGAAGAAAATGTTATATGTCAAGGGGTTAAACTTATTTTTGGCTTTAAATTACTATCTTTCTCATGATCACTTAACACATACGATGTTGTTAGACCGTCGCCTATAATTTAAAAAAACAGGTTGCCCGTAATGATCAAAAGTTTGGCCACTCCTACCTGATACAAACAGTAATCGGCGTCGCAACGTAACACGTCAGCGAGAGCGAAGCGGTTAAACGACACGGATATCTTTTTCCGAAGGATATTCCGTAGAAAATCCAACATGAACGAAACTCGATTACAAACTCAGCAAACGTATCTTGATAATTTACCTAACGCGAGCTGCAGCATGAATCAATTACAACCTCGACACAGGCACCTTTATAATTTATCTAACATCAAACGCAACAAGGATCAATTAACTCGGCAAATGCATCTGCATAATTTAGCCGGCAGAGAAAACACAGGCCAATTTGTTTGATGTTCCCACTGTTCAAACGGTTTCGTTTTATTTTTAGCCTAGTATCGAACGATGTGCCGAGCACGCGGTGTAGTTCAAGTGTTGCAAAAACAAAAAAGAACAGAAAAAAAGGGTGAAACTTTCGCAACGAGCGGCAAATAAACGAAAATGTTTAGTATCACGGAGAATCAAGCAGCGGAGCATGGTTATGAAATTATGGAGTGAAAACTGTTCCCTTCAGCCCCCTCCCCCCTTATAATGGGATTAATTACGGTCCGGTTAACGAAGCGGAGAAACAGGATTGTCAATAAGATGGGATCGTCGCGCGTAGGTTCAATTAAAAGTTGCCGGGCCAGGGGATTGGTCCGCGGCAGTTTAAATCGTTCGTTTTTTCAGATTGACAGTCGGCTAACATCCCGATATCAATTTTTTCACACGGCAAGCCTACCGTGAATTACGTCGATCTGATCCACATTTCGTTGGGCACCAGTCTGTCGCGAATGATAAGTGTCAGTCTGCGCATCGACTTTCCAATCGGAAATACTGGCAGAACTGTTGCGTGTTAATACATATAATCAATGTATCAATTTATTTATTTGAATTCATCAAGATTGTTTTGTGAATGGGATAAGATCAAAATTAATTTGTACGTTTTTTTCAGCACACAGAAAATAAAATTATTAAACTGCAGATTTGCTTCGTTTACGACAAAGATTAATAGTTGCGATATAAAACTGTGAAGACTGTGTTAGAGCAACTTGAGAACACTGAACGATTCTTATTCAATTTCTGTTCATGACAACTAACTTAGAAAATGTTTATGTTGCTCGATTAAAGTGCTAGATTAAATCTGTACTGAATTGTACAATGTTCAGAATTTGGACCGTCTCAGATCGATTTATTTATACATGGATGGCTCAGAAGCCAATCCAGTACAAGTTTATTAACCTTAAAATTTGGAGAAATAAGGATTTTGCAAATCGGCTGTAAAAAGATAACAATGCCACTGATAATGCAAAGCGCAATTTTCATTATAAGATGACATACAAATGAACGTAACCAGAAGAGAAACAAAAGAGAAATCTCAATGTCTTTTTAGATCTGCTGCTATTTTTCTGTAAGTATTGCTATCTGTTGTTTATTTATGAAGAAATCGACTACATTGGTTCATCGACCGAAAGATACTGTGACAAAGATGCTTCGTAACTCATTTTCAAAGAAAAATGTATTGGCTTGGCAAGAAAGTAATTTCGGTTTTGGAAATTCAACCCAGTACATTTTTCATTGAAAATGAGTTACGCAGCATCTTGGCAAGAAAGGATTTTCCAAAACCGATATTACTTTCCATGTGGCAAGAAAGTCTTTTCCGAAACCGAAATTTCTTTCCATGGCAAGAAAGTCTTTTCCGAAACCGAAATTACTTTCCGTGGTAAGAAATTTACCTAATACATATTTTTCTGTGAAAATGAGTTAAGCAAACCAATACTTGAACTGATTGACTTCTCAGATCATGTAGATCAGATAGACGAGATTCTACGGTATAAACACAGACTCACTATCGACCAGTGAAAGATGAAAATTAACGAACCTAAAACAATTTCTCAAAAAAGCACGTCGAAGTCTAGAAAACGCATTCGATCGTTAAAAGTATATTAACAGTTTTAAAAACGACAATGACCGACCAATTAACAATTTCCCAACGTCCTCCAGTCTCCAGAATTGCTGTTGTCCCTGACGCAAAGACGTTCCGTTCAGGATCGAATTAAAGAGCACAAGGCCGATGGAAGGAAGCAATCGCTCGATAAAGAAGCATCCAGGGGGCTGTAGGAGCGTGGCAAACGGGAATTGACGAAATCAGACGGCAGATTTTCGACCAGAAGAGGATTAACCGGATGTGTTGGATCATAGGTTAACGATTATATCAAGCGAACTCGAGGAAGAACTCGACGAGCAAAGGGTTGTAGCGGGTTGCTAGGGTGAATTAGCGGCAAAGGCCCCGTGGATTCCCCCGTGGAACGATTTGACCTGTGGCGGAAAGTTCGCCGAGTCCGAGGGTCAAACAGACGCGACGGACCTGTCCCGTGAAAGTCAAACCTGTTCCGCGGCATTCAAAGCGGACCGTGACGTGTCCCTGGCTGCGAACTCGCGGCTAATTAGCCGCGGAAAAGTGACGGTGAAACCTGCGGAACTCGGTCGGCTCGGACGGTGAACGTACCTCGTGTATCAGAAACCGGATCACCTTCTCGCTGCCAGTCTTCTGCTTCTCGCTGCACTTGCTGCACTTGTTCTGCAGAGCGTCCGGAAGCGATTCTGCGATCAGACAAAAATATTTGTTAATCACCATCCGGGATATTTTTCACTGACTTCCTTGACAATCGCATCATGTTTCAACCCTCGAATGAAAGACGATGCGTTCCAAGAAAACATATTATTGGACTGCGAATTTTTATGCAAAATAAAATTGTATGTAACATTTGCAATGAACAAAGGCTACATTTCTTCTTTCTTTTCTTTAATTATTTTATCGAATTTTGAAAGCAAATCCTTTAAATGGTTTTACAGTTTTGCACTTGATATTCCAATTTCTGTCCTACATTCGTAAAATCGTTGTTCATACACACACACACACACACACACACACACACAATCATAATATTTTATTTTTTTAATTTTTAAACATACTACATGAAAGGGTATAATAATCGTCGTGGATCGTTATACAACCAACGTGAAAATGATTTCACATTCATATTTTGCGGTTATTCAGATTATAAAGATGCCTTTTGATATACCTATTCATTCGGAAATGTTTATGAAAGGCAGTACAAAATGCAGAGTCAGCTCGTACAAATAATTTCCAGGTTCAGTTGGAACGTGTATCGATACTTGTTACTATACCATCTTTCGATTAACTGCATGAAGCATGAGTTGAAATAAAAAACTTCATTTCATCCCCTAATAATTTTTATAAAGGAATGACATAACCAAACTGTAGATCCATAAGATTCGCTCATTTCAAACAAGCAAAACTAAACGGTGATTTATTTCCTTGCCTAATACTTTCTACAAAATCGAAATAATATAACACTGTTAATAGATTCTTTCCCTTCGAACTCCTTCGAACATTTGTACAAATTAAAGAACCGTATAAATGCTTCTGTTTCATATTTCGGCTACTCGTTTTTGGTGACAAATTCATAAAAATGCGCGGACTGTTTCTCGAAATAAAATTCATCGACAACGTGCCCATTAAAAAAGGATTCCGCTCCATTCCAGCAGCGTTAAATCGCAAAATATCGCAAGAGCAGATCGCGATTGAAAGGAAACTCGTGTAGCGGATTTTTAATACTCAATTAGGATTGTCACGGTAAAAATCCGCCATAAAAACTGTAAAACGCGTTCGCAGCAAGTCGCCGCGCGGAAAATTCGGTGCTGACGATCCGATTTATCGTGCTCGCCGGATCATTCATCATCGCCCCGGCGGCGAAACACGAAAATATGACGAAGTGCTTTTAAATAGGTTGCCACTCTTCTTATTTATTCCGTCGGGGGCGGCGAGCCCCACTTTCCCCGTAATCGACAGCACCCTCGGGGACCCCGGTGTCTACCAAGAAGGAAAGCGATAAAGAATTTTCCGAAGTGACTCTGCAGGACGATAGGGGCGCACGAGTGAATTACGGCCGGAACTGTGTTAATTACCGGGATCAAGGGTAACGCGATTTATCCCAGATAATCGGTCTTTGAGTTTCTTGACTCGCCGAAGAAAGACGGCGCGAAATTTCTAAATAAATTAAAAATTCGCCGACGAACTAACGAGTTGTCCTTAACTGGTTTATCGGTCCTGAAGAAAGACACCCCCTTGTTACTGCTCTGAAATTTTAATGCCGTTAAGAAGAGAAACAGACGAACGAGGCTGACTTCCAGATCTTGTGCGCTTTGAGCAAATTACGGGACAAACAAAGCGGAGAACAGCGTGCCTGATCCATTCAGATCGCAGACAGACTGACCCTGAGAGTTCGCCCATGGAATATTAATTTGTTTTCTAATTAGTGTAGTTGAGAGATCAGACTAGCTGTGTATTTTTGGGTTTGGGTGAAGAAACTCTTCAATTTATGAAAACTATTTACACTGGGAGAGCGATTTGATGATGAAGTATGTTTTGTATGAAGTATGATTTGAAGATGAGTATGTTTAGTATCTTTTATAATTTTGTTTAGCAATTTTCGACAGCATAATCTTTGAGGTACCTCTGTTAGTTTTTAAGTATTCAACTTAGAAAGTAGGTAATTAATTAACAATTTTTATGATATGGATCAAAACATACCCAGGCCTGGCTGTCAGAGTGTTAAAAGAAGAAATAGATTTTTAAATACTTCGTTTCTGTTTCGTACGACCGATGTAGACAATTTTTATTCTGCATAAAGATCTACAGTGTACCAAACAAACGCGATATACACTGTACAAATATCTTGGCAAATTGGTCGAGAACGTGAAGAGTGAAAGCCAGCAACTGATTCGACAAAGGATAGCAATTTTGCATGAAATATTCGAAACTAAAATATATGCAACAACTTCTGCTTGAAGAAATTCAATTTTCAAAGTCAATTCTGAAATGTCAGATTCGAGATGCAAATAATCATGCCGAAGGACGGAAGTCGAGGAATTAGAGACTTATAGAGACGAATATTCGACTTATGATCGAAAGTTGGGACGCACAATCGACTGCGAAAGCGCAAAATGGGTCACCACCATTATAATATTTTGCACATGGTGCTCCGTATGGGCACGTTGATCTTCGAAAGGCGAAGTTCATAAAGTAGGTTCACTGCTGGGAAAGGGAAGGATAGGGCTGGCAAGAGGAGGTTTACAGAGTCGAAGTCCTTTCGCGAACCAATGTTCGCTCCGGGTTTTTTGCCGGGCGTCATTTGCACCAGCTGGCCAGGCCCGGCACTGCCGAGCATATCGTCCGTGAATTTTCCGAGACAAGGACTATATTCCCCCTGACAAAGTATCGTCCCGTCCGTCGCACGTTCCGTTACGGTCAACAGTCTGGCAATGCTGAAAAAGATCAGGAAGGAAATCCATCCTGATGGATTGACACCGAAAAACGTTTATGACCGGAAAATGACAGTGACTGTCAACCGAGACCCCACCCTCATATGTTGTTAATCATTTTGTTTGCGTCGCCAATTTGTGGCAACAATAGCATAATACGGATAAAAAACAGTGCCATAGCTCGTAGACGATAATCGTCAAATATTTAATTGCTGTTCTAGTTAAACTTCATTAATAATAATTATAATAATATCATATTATAATGTAATAATAATAATAATAATAATAATAATAATAATAATAATAATAATAATAATAATATCATATTATAATATAATAATAATAATAATAATAATTCTTTGATCGAAAATGATTTATCGTATTTCATCGGGAAGTCTAAATAAATTTAGACCCGTGATTCTTGACACACGTCAGTCACTTTTAGCGATCGGTAGGTTAAGTGCTAATATCGAGACAGACTGGTGATGTATATTTTAAGGAAACTCTACAGAATATGAAAGCTATTCGTTTCTCTTAAAACCACTGATAAATTAATTCTTGCATTATCAAGTATTCAGTAGCGATCTAAATGCAGACAGATAATATAAATTATTTTCTTCTTATTAGTCATCATAGCTATGAAAAAAATGATACGACGAAGAGTTAAGTAGAACATATACTTTTCGAATAGCGTTAATTAAATTGTTTAAGTACGATGACAAGACTGCAGATTTTTATGTGAAATAAAAATTGTTTTCATTAACAGCACGGGACAGGAGCTAAATATAAATATGATTCTTCTCTCGATAAATTCGGTAAGTTGAAAATAACAGTTGTTTGTAAATTTTCGAATGTTGTCATTGTTGAATATTCTTTTTACGAATTTTTGCAACGAATGCAACAAAGTAATCCGCAGTCTAATGACGACCGGCAAAAGTCGGGGAACTTCTCTGAAAACCTGATATGTATTCGGAGGCCCGATGGAAAAAGTCAGCAACGACTTGGCCGAGTGCTAATCCCGCGTTTCAATTCGATTTCCATCGACGTCGATACCGATCCATCCAAAGTTACATTCGAATTAATTCCGTATTAAGCCGAGGTCGAGAGCACCGTTCGGTTCTCCGGTAAAATTTAGCCCGAGATTAAATTCGACCGCGGTTCGATGTCCTCCCGCGACTCGGATAACATCCGTTCGCAGAAAATGGCGAGCTAGAACCGTCGCGTCGTTTGCAATAACAGACAAGTCGATCGATCGAAGCGTTGGAGTTGGATGAACTTCGTAAATTCTCCCTAATTGACACCCAGCTTGGAAACAAAAATGGACAATTTGGGAAAAGGAGATACGATTAAAATAGAAATAAAAATAGAAATAAAATTAAGATAACCTTGCACCTCGTTTTTATAATCGCTGACAATCGGCAACTATAAAAATGAGCGACGAAGTTCAAATAATTGTATCTCCTCTTTCCAAATTGTCTATCTTTTTCGTACAAGCTGAGCGTCAATTAGGGAGAATTTACTGTAATTTGCAACCTTAACACCGTGCACTACGATTTCTTTCAGAGCTGCGTCGACCATTTTTGTTTTTTCTGTCTCAAGTTACCTTCGTTCCTAGATTTGATAGCAGAAGAGTCATATATCCTGCTTCGATTTAGAAGAATAACATTCATATTATGGAAAACGCAGGTTCATATTATGTACAATCATATTGTTTAATAGATCACGTATGAAATCTTTATCAAGCGGTTAATTATCAAGAGGGTTTTATACGAGTTAATAAAAACGTTAAAAATTTTCGATATTTGCATAAAATTCCGCGATTGCCATCTGGTATTGTAAAAATTTGTAAGTCCAGTAATACATAAAAAACTTCAATTGCCTTCTAGTGTCTCAAAAAATGTATCATTTCCGTAAATGCATAAGCATTCAGAACCGACTTCCAGTATTTCAAAAATGTACTATTTCCAGAAATGCGCGAACATCCACAGCTGTCTCCTAGCGTTTCAAAAATGCATAAATTCTATAAATCTGCAAAAATCTACAACATAATGGGAAGAAATTATATCTCGTGCTACGGAAGATTGCATAAATGAAATGAAATTCGAAATTGTACGAAACGAAGAAGAATAAAGGGACCGAAATAGGAACTGAAACTTTTTAATGCATCCAGCTGCAGTTTTCTTCGTGGCGGAATTATACGAAGAGAATTGCGAGAATTACAACGCGTCGCGCGCGGTAATTAAAAATCGCACGAA